GGGTGTTCCGTCTTTGCAAGACCCACCTGCCGCAACACAGGCCAAAACGGCAGGCAACCCCATCCAAGTTGTTTTTGCGCAATGACTTGACAAAACAACCGCCTCCTCCACCTCCCACATGTCCCAGGCTACGTCCCCGTTGCCCAGCTGGTGGCGGCGCTGTTTTTCGTGACGTCAGAGCTGGGGGCGGTGGAGCCGATGTACCAGTACAGCCTGGCCTGGCACCTCGACCTCTTCGCAGACAGGTGGGTTTGACCGGGGTTTGACCGTGCTGTTGACACAGTAGTTCTTCACCTGGCTTGACCTTTCTTCGGGTCACAGGCAACATGGGTACATATGGCATTGCAATGCACGCATCCAGCTGAAGGGCGTTGGACGGCGTTCATGATTCATAGTCCTCAGAATATTCATACTGAAAGTAGGAATTATATCCTATCGCCCCCTGCTGCCGTGTCGCCTCCCTGCAGCATCACCAAGGCGGACCGGGCGCCGGCCGGCCGCGACGCCCTGACTAAGCGCATCGAGGCCCTGTGCCGGCACTTCCAGGGGTCCCTGTACGTCCAGGTCTGCAGGTGAGAACTTCACGCCGGGAACTTTGCTGCAGGAGCTCCTGGCAGCCCGCGGCGGGATGGTTGCAGGTTACCACAGCCGCAACTGCCATTGGTGGCACTGGTAATTGCGAGGACTTGAGGGCCTATGTATGCAAGCATGGGGTAATGCTCTCCTGCTTCCGGCCCCCTGGCAAGGCCCCGAGCACGAACACCCAAAGGTACGCACGCATCCATTGTGCTCGCAATCATTCCTCTGTTGTGCCCCAACCTAAACCATCGCTGGCCTGCACGCGCCCCACCTGCCCAGATCCCTGTTTGAAAAGGACAAGCTTCTCTTCAGCTTCCTCATGGCCGTCCACGTGCGCGCCCACATCCATAAGGCGCTGGACATGGGGCAGCTGAGGTGGCTACTCACGGGCGGCGTCAGCGACGGCGGGGCACAGCCCAAGAACCCTGCGGTGAGGGCGCACAGCACGCGTGGTTCCGCCGCGTCTGCGTCTGCGGTGCTCTGTGAGAGCTTGCCAATGAGGCCTAATCTCTTTGTGCCATAGCTGTAGCTACTGCTGCTGTTTTGAATCCAACCCACAAGGCCCCACAGGATGGCTGGCATCAAGTGGACGCTGCGGGCGGAAGGTCTCATCTTGTGATTGCCCCTTCCCTACTCAACACTCATACACCCCCGACACACCCAGTCGTGGCTGTCTGAGAAAAGCTGGGGGGAGGCGCTGAGGCTGGAGGCGGCCTACCCAGATGCCTTTGGGGGCCTAGCCGAGGCGCTGGCGCGGGAGCAAGACAAGTTCAAGGCGCGTCACGATGGGGCGGCTGCGGCACCGGGGTTCAGAGTGGAAACCAGGGGGATCTTTGGGCGACTGGGTGTCCCTAAATGCTGACTCAGCATGCAAGGCTCATCGAGCCTGCGACCCGCTTGCCCTCACCACCTATGGGAGGGCGGCAGCATGAAGGACGACACTGATGGCACACAGAAAACGCAACAACAAACTTGTGTGCCAATGCATGTGCAATCGTGCAGGCGGTGTTCGACGCGGCCGACCCCCTGGTGGCGCCGTTCCCCGCCCCCTGGGGCGCGGGCCTCGACCCCCTTCAGCGCCTCATGCTGCTGCGGTGCGAAGGGCTCCCGGACGCAGCCGCCCAGCCGTCCCAACCGCTTCCGTGACGCGCGGGCCTCCTAGCCATTCGCAGAATCGCCCTTGAGCACCGGCCAGCTCAACAAACGCCGCGCCCGCCGCCAGCCTAGTATATGCTTGTGCCAAGTGCGTTGATACAGACGGCCGGCCAGCCCGCCCCGAGGTCTGCACCCAATTTTGCGCAGACGTGTGCCCTCCGTCTCTGACGGAGAGGTTCTCTTTTTGTGTTCACCAACCCATACCGAAACTCAATTTCTGCAGGGTGCTGCGGCCCGACAAGCTGGTGACTGGTATCCACGGCTTTGTCGCGTCCACCCTAGGCCAATCTTACGTCGAGCCGCCGCCGTTCGACCTGGAAAAGTGAGGGCTCCCGCTCAACTTCCCACCTCCCTCCAAATTTGGACCTTGGACCTCCTCGTTTTGCACGTGCCTGCCGCAGCCCTGTCACTGCTAAAACCATATCGACACTATCACACCGAAGTCTGCATTCGTTTGTCCGCTTGAGATCCTGAGTGTTGCCCACCTTACTGGAAACCCTGGATGACGTCATCATGACATGCAGGAGCTACCAGGCCAGCAGCTCCACGGCCCCCCTTATCTTCGTGCTCTCCCCGGGGTCAGACCCGATGACGTCACTCCTCAAGTTTGCGGAGGGCAGCAGGGTGAGCCCCGGCGACGCGCTGTTGATTTTGTTATATTCCAGCAAAACACAGCAAGGCCCTCCTCCCTTTGGCTCGGCGGGCACGTGCTGAAAACCTGATTTGCCCCAGCACATGCCGGGCAATGTATTGTGTTGTTTGTGGCCCACTGTTCAACAAGGCATCCAGAAGTGCCTATTGTGTGTTGTCATGCCGAGGCATGCTGCTCCAACGCCGCGTTGACTCATCATGTCTGTGCCGAGAGCTGCAGGTCCCTGTCGAATCAATCAGCCTGGGCCAGGGGCAGGGCCCCAAAGCCGCCAAGATGATAGAGGCCGCCAGGCAGAAGGGCGGCTGGGTGGTGCTGCAGGTGAGCCAGGTGTACGTGCATGTGGGGGCGAGGGAGGGGGAGGGGCTCTGCGCGCCGGCTGTTGTGGCAGAGCGGCTGCTGCCAGGTGCAGATGAGGGCCCAGCACACGCTGCCTGTGGCCCGCTGGGATGAGAGCGGCGAAATGCCCGGGACGCCCGGCTTGCGGCAGTCGGCGCGGCTGCCCAGGCGGCCGCGTGCGCAGCGGTGACGGTGTAGGTCCCTCTGGAGCACCCTTGCATGGTTGCGACCCGCGCTCCCACCCAC